CCCCAGCCCTGCTCTGAGCCCTGAGCCCTGCTCTAAGCCCCCCAGCCCTGCTCTGAGCCCCCCAGCCCTGCTCTGAGCCCCCCACCTCTGCTGTGCACACCCAGTTCTTCAGAGCCACCCGGACCCTGGGGACCCCCAAGCACCTCACAAACACCTACTTGAGCTTCAGCTCCCTCGTCTGCTCGTTCTGGGCCTCCTCCAGGTCCTGGCGCACACGGATGTACTCGTCGTGCTGGTCCTGGATCTCGGCCTTCACAGCCTGGAGCTTGGCGTAGAGCTGCGAGGGGGAGCGGCACCTCAGCCTCACACCCAGGGCCGGGGAGCCCTGGGGAGGGACATCCTCAGCCCCGGCCCTGTCCCCACCCGACACGCTCTCACCTTCTTCAGCTTCTTGGTTTTGATCTCCACCTCCTGCTGCAGGGACGTAAAGGTCTCCCGCAGCTCCATGGTCTCCTCGTCCCTCAGCAGCATCTCCTGCTGCATCTCGCGCTCCCGGCGTTTCTGCGGCGCAGGGACACGGTCGGAGCCGGGATGGGGAGCGGCCCCGGGACCCCCCTGTCACCCCCCCGGTACCTGCTCGGCGATTTCTTGCCGCCTCAGCTCCAGCATCTTCTGCTGCTCGTTGGTGTGGTCCACGATGGTCCTGCCCCCGATGAGCAGCTTGCTCTCCATGGCCTGGAGGGGACAGGGGGGTCCCAGGGGGGCAGGGGGTCAGGGTAGGGCTCCCCACCCGCAGGGCTTTGCCCCAGGCCAGCCTCATTGGATGGTCACCCTGATCCCTGCTCCCTGTCCCCATCCCTGCTCCCTGTCCCCATCCCTGCTCCATGGGAGGTGGGAGTGTCCACGATTAGACTGGATACTGGGAACAATTCCTGCATGGAAAGGGCTCTCCAGCCCCGGCACATCTGCCCAGGGCAGGGGTCCCCATCCCTGCAGGGGTTCAAAGCCCTGTGGATGTGGCACTTGGGGACAGGGACAGTGGTGGCCCGGGCAGGGTTGGGGGTGGTTGGGCTCCTCCCACAACCCCACGATTCCATGTGCAGCCGGCAGCCTGGGCCCGCCCCGGCACCACCGGCACAGCAGCAGCGGCTGGGGGGGGTGCGGCTGCCGCGTCCCCTCCCGGACCCCCGAGCCCGGAATGCTCCGGGCCCTGCCTTGCGCACAGCCGGGAATCCAGCGGTGCACAGCCGGGAATCCAGCGGTGCACACAGCCGGGAAGCCAGCGGTGTGAACAGCTGCCGGCACCGTGGGAATGCACACACACAGGTCACACACACACACACAGTGCACACAGACACACACACACACACACAGTGCACACAGACACACACACACACACACAGTGCACACAGACACACACACACACACACAGTGCACACAGACACACACACACACACACAGTGCACACAGACACACACACACACACACAGTGCACACAGACACACACACACACACACAGTGCACACAGACACACACACACACACACAGTGCACACAGACACACACACACACACACAGTGCACACAGACACACACACACACACACAGTGCACACAGACACACACACACACACACAGTGCACACAGACACACACACACACACACAGTGCACACAGACACACACACACACACACAGTGCACACAGACACACACACACACACACAGTGCACACAGACACACACACACACACACAGTGCACACAGACACACACACACACACACAGTGCACACAGACACACACACACACACACAGTGCACACAGACACACACACACACACACAGTGCACACACACACACACACACACACAAATATAAACACACACACTGGGGCTGTGCACACAAACACACTGTGTGTGTGCACTGTGTGTGTGTGTGTGCACTGTGTGTGCACTGTGTGTGTGTGTGTGCACTGTGTGTGCACTGTGTGTGTGTGTGTGCACTGTGTGTGCACTGTGTGTGTGTGTGTGCACTGTGTGTGCACTGTGTGTGTGTGTGTGCACTGTGTGTGCACTGTGTGTGTGTGTGTGCACTGTGTGTGCACTGTGTGTGTGTGTGTGCACTGTGTGTGCACTGTGTGTGTGTGTGTGCACTGTGTGTGCACTGTGTGTGTGTGTGTGCACTGTGTGTGCACTGTGTGTGTGTGTGTGCACTGTGTGTGCACTGTGTGTGTGTGTGTGCACTGTGTGTGCACTGTGTGTGTGTGTGTGCACTGTGTGTGCACTGTGTGTGTGTGTGTGCACTGTGTGTGCACTGTGTGTGTGTGTGTGCACTGTGTGTGCACTGTGTGTGTGTGTGTGCACTGTGTGTGCACTGTGTGTGTGTGTGTGCACTGTGTGTGCACTGTGTGTGTGTGTGTGCACTGTGTGTGCACTGTGTGTGTGTGTGTGCACTGTGTGTGCACTGTGTGTGTGTGTGTGCACTGTGTGTGCACTGTGTGTGTGTGTGTGCACTGTGTGTGCACTGTGTGTGTGTGTGTGCACTGTGTGTGCACTGTGTGTGTGTGTGTGCACTGTGTGTGCACTGTGTGTGTGTGTGTGCACTGTGTGTGCACTGTGTGTGTGTGTGTGCACTGTGTGTGCACTGTGTGTGTGTGTGTGCACTGTGTGTGCACTGTGTGTGTGTGTGTGCACTGTGTGTGCACTGTGTGTGTGTGTGTGCACTGTGTGTGCACTGTGTGTGTGTGTGTGCACTGTGTGTGCACTGTGTGTGTGTGTGTGCACTGTGTGTGCACTGTGTGTGTGTGTGTGCACTGTGTGTGCACTGTGTGTGTGTGTGTGCACTGTGTGTGCACTGTGTGTGTGTGTGTGCACTGTGTGTGCACTGTGTGTGTGTGTGTGCACTGTGTGTGCACTGTGTGTGTGTGTGTGCACTGTGTGTGCACTGTGTGTGTGTGTGTGCACTGTGTGTGCACTGTGTGTGTGTGTGTGCACTGTGTGTGCACTGTGTGTGTGTGTGTGCACTGTGTGTGCACTGTGTGTGTGTGTGTGCACTGTGTGTGCACTGTGTGTGTGTGTGTGCACACTGTGTCTGTGTGCACACTGTGTGTGTATCTGTGGCCCACAGCCCTGCTCCGGTGCCAGCTGTCCCTGTGTCCCCATGTCCCCCCGGCCGTGCCAGCAGGGCCAGCCCCCCATGTCCACACACAGCACACACAGCGTGATCAATCCCTGTCCCCTCCCAGAGCCAGCTCAGCCACATCCCTGCAGTGTCCCCTGTGCCACCAGCCCGTGGCACCCACAGCCATCCCCCCTTGAGGTGCCTCTGGCCCCGAATCCAGGGTCCCACTCCTCACCGGGCCTGGCCCTTGCCCCCCTGCCATGGCCACGGCCCCGAGGGGTCACCAGGCCACCCCTGGGGTGCTGCCAGCCCTGGGGGACACACACGGTGGTCACGGTGCTGCTGTCACGTGTCCCTGGGCAGGGGTCTCCATGGGGGGGCCGTGCACAGAGTGGGGGGCTCTGGCAAACCGGTGGCCCCCATCCCCACCAACAGCTGCCTGGGACAAGGCTCTGTTTCCATGATTTTCTCCCATTTTTCCCCTTCTGGGAAGGGGACACATTGTGGGTTCTGGGGGAACCCAGGGGTCACCCCCAAAGCTGTGCCAGCAGCCCCCAGCAGCCAGGGGACACCCCCAGAGCTGTGCCACCAGCCCCCAGCAGCCAGGGGACACCCCCAAAGCTGTGCCAGCAGCCCCCAGCTGCCAGGGACACCCCCAAAGCTGTGCCTTCCTACCTCTCCCACCCAGTGAATCCGTTCAGTGCTGTGGGGACACAGCCCCCCCGTGGGTGCCCCATCCAGCCCCCCTGACCCTGGGGATTCCTCCTTCCTCCCTTCGGATGGGTGTCCCAGGCTGGTTGTTCTGCTGGGGGCTGAGACCCCCAAGGGCAGCCCCCCACCCGATCCTGTGCCATCCTGTGCCAGGGCTGGGGGCACTGGGGTGCCACAGGCCGCTCACCCCCTCTCCTCCAAACCCAGTTCTTGGTCCCAGTTGCTCCTGTTGAGGCTGAGTGTCCCCTGGGACCCCACGGGGGTGCAGGGAGGGGACGAGGTGGGTGCTGGGACGATGGTCCCACTGCCATCCCCTCCCACAGAACTCCCCCCTGCAGACACCATCCCCACCAGATTAAGAGGTTTCTCAGTGCCGCTGTTTTCTCCCTGCCAGGGCATTTATTCTCTCTAAGGAAGAGACCCAATCTCCTTTAGCACTAAGCCTCTCCCAGGAACTCATTTCCGGCACCCAAAGAACTTCCCAGCACTTTCCCTCCTGCTGACCTCGGCCTCAGCCCCTGGCACAGCCGTTGGAAATCACCCACACACCGTGCCCAGCTCCTCTGTGGCACAGCCCCTCTGCCTGGGAACACATCTGGGCATCCAGGAACACATCTGGCTGCCCAAAGGCACATCAGCTGGGGCAGGCTGAGCCCAGCTCTCTGAGCTCCCAGCTGGGTGGCAGAGGCAGAGCCCACACCCACGAGTGTGACAGCAGGACGGGGTGCAGAGTGTCACCCGTGGGTGTGGGGGGCACCCCGTGTCCCCTTGTCACCTTGGCTGCCTTTGCCACGGTCACCACGGAGCCACTGGCTCCTTGCCCGGCCCCACTGCCCACGAGCACCGTGAGGCCACCCAGTGTCCCCGCAGTGTCCCGCGGGCAGTGCCCACCGGGGTGAGTGTCACAGCAGGCTGTGCCCCTCTGGCACAGGGGGGATTTTTACTCGCTGAGGTGACACCTCTCTGCTGTACCCCCACAGCCAGAGGGTCCCTGTGTGCGGAGCGCCTCCGAAGGCCACCAAAGGGGACGTGGTGTCATCTCGCCTCCGGCCCTGCCTTGTTACTCAGCAGTTCCAGGACACACAGTGGCCATGAGCCAGCCCTGCTGTGCCAGACAGGGAGGCTGTGCTGGACAGCTGCCAGCCCAGCCTGCACCCCACAACCTGAACCCCACAACCTGCACCCCACTGCGACAGGGGGATGGCCGCAGAGACCCCTGTGCCAGCACACAGCATGCTGCTGTGCCAGCACACCCGTCACGGGACACCCGTCACGGGACACCGGCTGTGCCAGCCACGGCTCTGCCCCAGGGGCACGTCCCAGTGGGATCCCACGGTCTCCGTGCAGGCATCCAGGCGCGGCCACGCATCCCCGGGCATGATCACACATCCCTGGGCACGGCCACGTGTCCCTGAGGCTGCAACAAACACAGCCCTGGCTGTGGAAGAGGGTCTGGACCTCCGCCCAGCCCTGGCTCCCCGGGCATGACCCCCTCGAAGGGGTCCCTGCCTGGGCTCCAGCCCCGTCCCCACATCTGGGCCAGCGTGGTGCTGGAAGGGCTGTGCCACAGGGGCTGTGCCAGTGGGGCCATGCTGAGCTTGATGCCAAGGGTCAGGGTGCTGGGGCTCCCTCCCCACTGCTGGGACCGTGCTCCTGGCCCCATGGCTGTCACAGGCAGGGGTCAGGAGCCCCCAGCTCAATGGGGACAGGAGCAGGGCTGGGGCAGGGGGAGGTGCAGCCCTAGACCCCCGGCACAGCTGAGGCTGCCGTGGCCCCTCTCACCCTCAGCACTAAATCCCTGAGCACCCCTGAGGAGCCAGCAGTGGTGCCCCCATCCACCCTGCTCTGCCTTGGGGTGCCAGGAAGGATTTGGGGTGGGAAGGGGGATGCGGGTCCCTGGCCCTGCCACGGCTCACAGCCCTGCCCGCCCCCACAGAGCCCACTGGAGCCAGGGGCTGCACAGAACCAGGGGCAGGTGGGGGTAGGTGCACCGTGCCCCCAGCCCCAGCCCTGGGCTCACTCCCGAGGCCACCAGGGACGAATCTGCAGCATCACTCTCGTCACTCCCCCTTCCCACACAGGCTGCTTTGTTGTGCCGAAGGGGACAAGAGCTGAGCACAGCACACTGGTGCCACCGGTGACCCAGTCCCCCATGGCCCTTCCTTCCCACCCCATGCAGTGTCCCCACACAGGTCTGAGGGCCACCCCAGCCCAGCCCCATGCCGGAGCCTGGGGCTGCCCTTGGGGACCCTGCCCAGACACCTTGCTTGGGAGGTCCCCTTGCTGTGCACCGTGGTGGGCACCTCCCCCAGGCCCCTGCTTGGGATCCATTCCTACTCCACATGGGGGGCTGGGGGCACAGTAGGTACCCCGGCCCCATTTGTGACCACGTGTGGCAACACGAACCTTGTACTTGATGGCCAACAGCTCCGTGGCCTCCTGCTCCCTCCGCAGGTGCTCTATCATCTTCTCCTTCTCCTGGAGCAGCTTCTGCTTCTCCTCACTCACCAGGCTGTGGTCATCCTGGATAGCGGCTTTCTCCTCTTCCAGCCTCTCCTTCTGCTCCTTCAAGTAATTCTCCATGTTCTTCTCCAGGCCATCCTCATTCTCATCCTCCCCTTCATTGTCCACGGTGCCCTCTCCATCCATTGCCTTCTTCCTCCGGCTGCTCCTTCTCCTCTTCTTCCCCAGCATCCCACGTTTCTCCAGCTGGGCTTTCAGCCGGACGATCTCCTCCTGAAACTCACGCAGCAAGGTGTCCTTGGGGTCCTCGTTCACCCGGGGCTTGTTCTTGATGTTCTTGGCCCTGTTGGCAAACCTGAGGGTGGAGAGGCTCTCGTCGTAGCTGTGGGAGGCCGGGCCCAAGGTGGCCACCATAATTGTCTTGGCATTGCCCCCAAGGGAGTCCTGCAGCAGGCGGGTGAGCTTGGAGTCCCGGTAGGGGATGTGCGTGCTCCGGCCGTCCACCAGCGCCGAGATGACGTTGCCCAGGGCCGAGAGGGAGAGGTTAATCTTGGAGGCTTCCTTGGGGCGCTCTCCGTGGGCCCCCATTTTGTTTTGGCGCTCGCTGCCGGCCAGGTCCACGAGGTTGAGCTTGCCCACGCGGATGTGCTCCTCGCCGTCCGGCCCCGTCTCGCTGCACTCGATGGTGATCAGGAAGATGGCATGGGAGCGCGAGCTGTGCTCGTTCATGTTGGTGCTGCCCACGGAGCGCGTTTGGCTGCCCAGGTTCATCACGTGCTCAATCTCCTTGACGTTCTTGGTCACGAAGGAGGAAAGGTCTTTGATGTACACCCCGGTCTCGGGATTTTCCTTCAGCTCCAGCTTCTTGCTCTGGTCCTTGGCGAGGAGGTCCCTGATCTCCTCCTGGTAGATCTCCAGGTACGAGGCCCTCACCAGGTACTGCTGGTTCTGCGAGCGGGAGATGTGGGTGAAGATGTGTTCGAAGGCGCTGGGGATGATGCCGCGCTTCTCCGGCTCCGCCCAGGCGCCCTGCATGGTGTAGGTCTTGCCGGTGCCGGTCTGGCCATAGGCGAAGACGGTGCCGTTGAAGCCCTGCAGCACCGAGTCGATGAGCGGCCGCACCGTCTCGTCGTAGAGGTCGGCCTGCTTGGAGCTGGCGTCGTACACAGCGTCGAACGTGAAGGTCTTGGGCAGCTCCCCGGGGGCGGCGCGGGGGTTGCGGATGCTCACCTGGCCCAGCTTCACGTCCAGCTCCAGGACGCGCTCGTATCCCGCCGCCTCCTCCCGCCGGCTCATGGGCCGGCACCGGGCCACCACCCGGAGCGCCTCGCAGCCGCTGCGGGGCTTACCGGCCATGGCGGCGGCGGGCGGGGCCGGCGGCGCAGCGGGGCTGGGGGGCTCAGCCGCGCCGCCCCCGCGGCATCCCCGGGGCCGGGGTCGGGGCCGGGGCGGAGCGGGCGGGGCCGGGGCGGGGGGCGCGGGCGGCCGGGGCGCGGCGGGGCGGCCCCGCCGGGCGCTCGCTCATGGCAGCGCGGCCGCTGCGCCCCGCCCGGTGCGGGGATGGGGCGGGCGGGGCGGGCCGGGCCGGGGCGCGGCCGCGCCGCGATTGGTGCGCGCTCCCGGTCGCGCCCGCGCCCCCGAGCGCGCTCCCGCGGCCGCGCTCCCGCAGCCGCAGGCGGGAGCGCCGCCGGCTCCCCCGGGCACGCCGGGAGCTGTAGTGCGGCCTTTGTGCCGCGCCCGGGCTCGGGATGCGGCGCTCGGGGGCAGGAACGGGGTGCGGAATGAAGGATGCAGGACTGGGATGCTGCATTGGAATGCAGAACCGGCGTGTGGGATTGGGACGCGGGGTGAAGGATGCGGCGTTGGAATGCGGGATTAGGATGTAGGGTGAAGGATACAGGTCTGCCGGGAAGGGCTGGGACGCAGGATTAGGATGCAGGATACAGAATGCAGGATTGGGATATGGGATCGCAAATGCAAGAATGGGATGCAGGATGCAGGACTGGGATATGGGATGAAGGATGCAGGACTGGGATGTAGAACAAAGGATTGGAATGTAGGACTGGGATGCTGCACTGGAATGCAGGACTGGGATGTGGGATGAAGGATGCAGTACTGGGGTCCAGTGCTGGGATGCTGCACTGGAATGCAGGACTGAGATTCTGGGATGGGATGCTGCATTGGAATGCAGGAGTGGAATGCAGGATGAAGGATTCCAGATGAAGGATTGAGGATGAAGGATGCAGGTTTGGGATGTGGGATACAGGATGTGGGTTACAGAATGCAGGATGCAGGATTTGTGTGCGTGATGGAGAGTACTTTTGCGGAATGCAGGATGCAGGATGCAGGACTGGGATGTGGGAAGGAGGGTGCAGGGTCTGTGATAGGGGATCAGGGATGTGGGACTGGAATGCAGGACAGAGGCAGAAGAAGCAGGGGATGCCCAGTCCCAGCACTGACTGGGATAAAGCTCTTTCCTTGGACTTGGCAGCCAGCACAGGGATAAACCCCCTCCTATCCTATCCCATCCTGTCCCGTCCCCGTGGGGTCAGGGCAGGGTCACCCTGTGGTGTTTGGGGCTGTCCCAGGCTCTGTGTCCCCTTGAAGCCGGGCATGGCTCGCAGTGGGAATAATCCTGGCGCCTTACGGGGCTGCGGGTGAGATTAAACATTCTTGTGCTTAAACGAGTCTGAGCAGCCACCCGTTCCTTCCCCGGAACCAGAGATTATCCCATAATCAATTAATTAGGCTATTTGCTGCCATACACAGGCCTGCCTGGTGCTATCCCAGTCCTCCAGCTCCAGGAGGAGTTTCCAGGCAGGGACCGTCCCCTCCCCAAAGGCACAGCCCCAGCCATGGAGGGGGACCAGGGGACAAAGGAGGGTGTGAGGGAGGAAAGTGGGAGGGAGATGCAGCAGGGATGGAGGGGAGATGGAGGGGATGGAGGAACAATGGAGGGGGCAAGTGGAGGATGGAGAAGATGATGGGGAGGGTGAAGGGGGATGGAAGCTTCAGGGGAGGTGGGGTGGGAGGGAGGATGCAGTGATGGAAGGAGGGGTGGAGGGAGGATGACAGGGATGGTGAAGGGGGATGGACGGATGGATGGAGGTGATGGGGAGGGTGACAAACGGAGGGGGCAATAGAGGGAGGAGGCAATTGGGGGTGGAGTCAAAGGGTGGAGGGATGGGAGGAAAACGGAGGGGATGGAGGGTGTTATGGAGAGGACTGAAGGGAGTAATGGGAAGATGGAGGAGGTAGAGAATGGGATGGGGGGGACAAGAGGGGCTGAGCAGGGAGTCACGGCTGGGGCCACCTTTCCTTGCCTGCCCTTTCCAGGGAAAGGGCCATCCACAGGGCGCGGCAGTTGGGCCCTGTCAGGTGGGGACAGTCCCCATGGCACAGCACAGAGCTGATGGTGCTGTCCCCACTGCGGGCCCCACATCCTGGCTCCCCTCCAAGGCCCTGTGCCATGGCAGGGACCCGGGTGCTGCGTGCTGTCCCTGTGTCCTCCGGGATGAGTTCAGGGGCACCACAGCCCTGCTCCCCTGGCAGCCCCTGGCTGTGGTGGCCCAGCCCCAAATCCCCCACAGGACCAGGCTGTGGGGACAGGCAGGTGGGTGACACACAGGAACAGGAGGATATTTAGGCAGGGCATGAGACAAGGCAAAGAGACATAGGGGACATGTCAGGAGCAGGGACATGTAGGGACAGAGTGATGGGTAAAGACAGGGTGATATGTCAGGTGGGGTAACCTGTAGGGACACGGTGACATAGGGAGGATGAGGTCATATGTATGGGCAGGATGGCAAGTAGGGACACAGTGCCAAGTGGGGCAGGGTGCCACATGAGCACAACCCTTGCCTACAGGTGTCAGCACACAACCAGTGCTAGTGGTGGCCAGTGGGCTCTGGGCTGACCCTTGGGACAGTTCCTGGGGCAGTGGGGCTGAGGGGACAGTGAACCCTCACTGTGGCCATCCTGGGCCAGCCCTGGCATGCCTGGGCAGGGAGACTGCAGGGAAAACACCCCACAGAAGCCTCCAAAGCAGCCAGGGAAGAGCCCTGAGCCCACTCCGTGCATGGGAGGGATGTGGTGTGTGTATGGTATGTATGGGGACAGGGTGTGTATGGGGACAGGGTGTCTATTGGACAGGGTGTGTATGGGATATGGTGTCTATAGGATATGGTGTGTATAGGATATGGTGTGTATGGAACATGGTGTGTATGGGGTGATATGGTGTGTATGGGATATGGTGTGTATGTGACAGTGTATGAGACATAGTGTGTATGAGATATGGTATGTATGGGACATGGTGTGTATGGGATATGGTGTGTATGGGATATGGTGTGTATGTGACATAGTGTGTATGAGACATAGTGTGTATGAGATATGGTGTGTATGGGCCATGGTGTTTATGGGACATGGTGTGTATGGGATATGGTGTGTATGGGATATGGTGTGTATAGGATATGGTGTGTATGGGACATGGTGTGTATGGGCCATGGTGTGTATGGGATATGGTGTGTATGGGATATGGTGTGTATGGGATATGGTGTGTATGGGATATGGTGTGTATGGGATATGGTGTGTATGGGATATGGTGTGTATGGGATATGGTGTGTATGGGATATGGTGTGTATGGGATATGGTGTGTATGGGATATGGTGTGTATGGGATATGGTGTGTATGGGATATGGTGTGTATGGGATATGGTGTGTATAGGATATGGTGTGTATGGGATATGGTGTGTATGGGATATGGTGTGTATGGGATATGGTGTGTATGGGATATGGTGTGTATGGGATATGGTGTGTATGGGATATGGTGTGTATGGGATATGGTGTGTATGGGATATGGTGTGTATGGGATATGGTGTGTATGGGATATGGTGTGTATGGGATATGGTGTGTATGGGATATGGTGTGTATGGGATATGGTGTGTATGGGATATGGTGTGTATGGGATATGGTGTGTATGGGATATGGTGTGTATGGGATATGGTGTGTATGGGATATGGTGTGTATGGGATATGGTGTGTATGGGATATGGTGTGTATGGGATATGGTGTGTATGGGATATGGTGTGTATGGGATATGGTGTGTATGGGATATGGTGTGTATGGGATATGGTGTGTATGGGATATGGTGTGTATGGGCCATGGTGTGTATGGGCCATGGTGTGTATGGGATATGGTGTCTATAGGACACGGTGTACAGGGACATTATGTCTATGGGGACACGGTGTACATGGAGGGTCCTGGTGGCACAGCTGGTGACGTCCCAGTGCAGCTGTTGGCATGGGATGGCACATGGGAACTGAGGAGCTGCAGGGGTGGATTTCTCGATCCTGAGCCAGGGTGACACTGAGCTGGCTGGGGCAGGGGACATGGTCCAGGTGTCACACAGGGTAGGATGACATTCAGGGCCTGCATTGATCCCAAAGTGCTTCAGCAGGGCTGAGGGATCCCGCTTCCCGTGATCTTGGTTTTCCTGTTCCTCCCCATCATGGGTTCCCACATCCTACAGCCACCCTGGGACGTCCCAGCCGTCCCTTGGGCATTGTGGCTGCTGCCAGGACAACACAGACATCCCTGAGAGTATCCAGCCCCTGGAAACCTGGCTGGCTTTGGGTACTGCAGCCATCCCTGGGGCACCACAGCCAACACTGGGACACCATGGCCACTTTTGGGACACTACTGCCAGACCTGGGCCACCAAGGGCATCCCTGGACAGCACAGTCACCTCTGGGACACTGCAGCCATCCCTGGGTACCGTGGCCACCCCAATTCCCAGCTCGTGTGGGTGACTGGGGGGATCTGGGGGGGCTGTGGCCCCACGTACCCTGTAGTCACTTGGACACCTGACACCCTTGGCTGGCAGTGAGGGTCCATGAGACCTTGGGACCTCCTTCCACAGTCTGTAACAACCTCTTGGCATTCCCTGCCTGGGCTGGGCAACAGCATCAGCCAGAGCCAGGCAGATGTGTGAGGGAAGGGATGCCCAGTGCTGGGGTGATGCTGTCCCACGCAGGGACCCTTTCCCATCTCCTTCAGCACCACTATCCCCACGGCATTCCAGGGAAAAGGCTAATAAAGGAACACCAATAAAGGGACAGCAATAAAGGAACACTAATAAAGGAACACTAATAAAGGGGAAAGGCTGCCAGGGACACTCCAGGACCTGCCCCACATGCCCTGGTGCAGCAGCTCCCCCAAGCCACTGACAGCCCCATTCCCCTTGGGGCAGAGGGTGCTCAGCCCCTGGCTGCACCTGGTGTGGGACTGTGGGACTGGGGACCAGCTCCCCCCTCCCAAACCCTGCTCTGAGATTGTCTCAGAGCTGCTCTCACTGCAGCCT